GTCCTGTCTGCACTACTGGGTTCGTTCCTGACCATCAAACCCTGACAGGTAAGAGGCGTTGATCTGACAGAAGGTGCAACAGGACAGTAATACATGGAACACCTGATGACTTTGTCCCACAAAGTCACACCGTCCAGGAAGGTAGCGCTCCAGCAGAGGGAAGGTGAAGAAGAAGGCACAGCTAAGAAAGAACCCCACCTGACCAAAATGGTAGGCAATGGCCGGGTCATTGTTCGAACCTGATAAGAGTCTTTTGGCCACAGGACTGCTGTCCCAGATGTAGGCAAGCGCTGAGGGGACCACCTGACACACCTTACGCACCCCCGATGATAAACTGTGGCTGCTATATTTTCCATAGCAGCATCCCAGGCAGGACAGGAAGCTGAGGGCAGCAGCAGTGGGCATGAATAGTCCACACACGCTGCTGTGTAAGCTCTCGTCCACAACATAGTAAAAGTGAACCACAGCACTGCCGTACTGATACTGTGCCACCCCAACGTAGTCCAGAAAGTAGAAGCTGTAGTGACACAGTTCAGACCTGCCCCCCAGTAGGTGAGCTGTCACGCTGAAGACTGAGTAAGTCAGAGAAGACATGATGAGGATTAACAGGGGCCAGGAGTGAGGATCGGAAATAAAGTAAATAAATAAAAATTATGTCGGTCTGAGCCAGTCATTACTGACTCGTCTTCAGCTGGTTCAGAACGCAGCTGCCCGCCTTTTAACTGGTACCAAAAAACGAGAACACATCACCCCTGTTTTAGAATCACTACATTGGCTCCCGGTTCGCTTCAGGATTAATTTTAAGGTTCTTTTATTTGTTTTCAAATGTCTTCATGGTCTCGCCCCACAGTATCTGTCCGACCTGCTCCAGCTGTACACTCCTTCTCGCTCTCTCAGGTCAGCAGATCAGCTGCTGCTGGTCGTCCCAAGGTCCAACAGGAGACTGAGAGGTGACCGAGCGTTCTCAGTCGCTGCCCCTAAACTGTGGAACGAGCTGCCTCTGCATGTCAGACAAGCTGGCTCACTTCCTGTTTTTAAGTCTTCTCTGAAGACACATCTTTTCTCTTTGGCTTTTACTTCAGTTTGAAATGTTGGTTTTAATGACTCTAAGTTATTTGTTTTATTTTATTTGTTATCTTTATTTTATTTCACATTTTTAACGTGTGGGGTTTTTATGTTTTTGTATGTCCTAGTGTACAGCACTTTGGCCAACAGTGTTGTTTTAAAGTGCTCTATAAATAAAGTTGTATTGTATTGTATTGTATTGTAAAGTCCACGGTATTGGCGAGGTCACGTAATTTAACCAGAAACAGAAAAAACGCCAGCAGGTGAGTCCAAATGTTGATAGTCTCATTGTGGCGCTGGAACAAAGACAGGAAGTAGTACCGCCAGCTCTGGTCGAGCGGTCTGTAACCCGTGCAGATGAAGCGCTCCCTGAAGAAAGGGGGAACCTCGATGTCCCTGACAGTGCTGGGCATGGAGGGGGCAGCCTCTCTCAGCATCCGAGGAACCTGTCGGATCTGCTGCAGACTGATGAACACTCGGCCAATACTCTCCATCACAATGGTCGCCATGGTGACCAGAGGCTAACAGATGTGGGGCAATGGATCCTGCAGAGATGGTTCAAGAATAAAATAAATAAATAAAATGTTTTTTATTCAGTTTAAAGCATCTATTGATAAAATCCCAAACATCAGTACTAAAACTGTTCCCCTTAAAATCAAATGAAGTGAGGGAAAAAACAGCTTGTAGGTTGAAAGGATGTAGCTCTGTGATTATTTATTAGCTTTTTACAGAAAATCTTGCTACATTCACACAAAAAACAACTACATAACTAAAGAAATGTCATTTGCTGTGAAAATGCAGTGTGGATGCTTATTGCTGAATGACTCGTGCTAAAAGATGCTGAAGAAGCTGAAACCAGCTGAAAAGGTTTCATCACTAAACTGTTAACGTGAGTTGAATTTGGACAGCCGACATTTGCTGACAGCAGAAATATAAAAGTGGAAAGCAGCAGAGTAAAACGTTGGTGTAAAGAAGCTGCATAGAGCAAAAAAGTAGCAGAAAGGAGAAGAATGAGCTGAAACTGGCAGAGAGGCTGAAGAGATTACAAAAAATCTGAAGTTAGAGAAACTAAAATAAGCAGAAAAAAGCTGAAATTAGCAAATATCAAGAACCTGAAAGGAGCATAAAATGTTGAAAATATTAGAAAGAACAAAAGTAAGTAAGTACTGAAAGTAATGAAAAAAGAATTAAAAAAAGCAAAAACAAAGGCTAAAAATACATAAAAAGTAGCTTAAAAAGTTGCATTTAGCAGAAAGAAGCTGAAAGAAGCAAGAAACTAGCTGAAAAAATCTGATATGAGCAGAAAGAAGCTGAAATTGTTGAAATAGAACAAAACTCGCATAACGAGTTAGGTGATGAAAAACATACAAAAGAAAAATAGAGCTGAATATTGAGAATGATTTAGAAACTATCCGTCCATCATCTTTACCCACCTTCCTTTATGGATTGCGGGGGTCGCTGGTGCCCATGTCCAGCAGTCACTGTGCGAGAGGCAGGGGACACCCTGGACGGGTCTCCAGTCCATCACAGGGACACATCTTTAGGCAGGCCACTTCTCTTCCTGTTTTCAAATCTCTGCTGAAAGCACATCTGTTTTCTCTGGCATTTCACACAGTGTGAGTTGATTTACTAATTTTTGTTCTGTGTTGTGTTTTTTCTTGAATGCTTTTAGTTAATTTTTCAGTACTATCATTATTTTTATTTTTTCCATTAATTTACTCTCATTGATGTTATTAAGCACTTTGGTAACAGTTGTTTTAAAGTTGATTTGATATCGGGACAAACAACCATTCACTCTCTCTCTCTCTCACCAGGGACAATTCAGAGTTACCAGTCAGCCTAACTTGCATGTTTTAGGTCTGTGGGAGGAAACCGGGATACTCAGAGAAAACCCACGCACGCACGGAGAGAACAAGCAAACTCCACCCAGAAAGGCCCTGGCTGGGATTTGATCTGGCGACCTTCTTGCTGAGTGGCAACAGCTCTACCAACTGCACAACCGTGCCGCCCTGACTTAGCAATGTTCAGAAAATTTAAGTTCTAGTATTCCTAACAGAAATGCATATCACCAGCTGACTTTATGCAGTTTTAAACCGAGGTCATCTTCCTTTACGTGGAGAAACAAGGAAGGCATTTTGGTCAAACTTTCAAAAAAATTGTTACGAGCAGTTTCACACAATATTACTACAAACCGGATTCCAAAAAAGTTGGGACCCTAAACAAATTGTGAATAAAAACTGAATGCAATGATGTGGAGGTGCCAACATCTAATATTTTATTCAGAATAGAACACAAATCACAGATCAAAAGTTTAAACTGAGAGAATGTATCATTTTAAGGGAAAAATCTGTAGTTTCCATATTTCATGGTGTCAACAAATCCCAAAAAAGTTGGGACAAGTCCATTTTTACCACTGTGTGGCATCCCCCCCTTCTTCTTACAACACTCAACAGACGTCTGGGGACAGAGGAGACCAGTTTCTCCAGTTTAGAAATAGGAATGCTCTCCCATTCATGTCTAATACAGGCCTCTAACTGTTCAATCGTCTTGGGCCTTCTTTGTGGCACCTTCCTCTTTATGATGCGCCAAATGTTCT